GGCCAAAAGTGCTTTATTGACATATACACAGGACTTCCACATCATCTCCTGTTTTCTGTCTAAATAAAAAGAAAGGTTTTGACTTTAACACAGTCAAATTGTATGTAACGGAACAGTTCTCAAGTATGAACATAGTTATAGTATTTTGTCCATTAACATTTAGTTAGATTTAAAGAAAATATCATCTATCCTATCTATGTGAGTCTAAAGTCTTGTATGTAGAGTATCTTTTCATATAACCAAGGAAAACTATAATTATAACTATCTGTCTTCAACTCCGTCAAAGACCACAGAAGGATAATATATAAACACTAGAATTGACAGAGACATCTCGCTACCTGGACAGTCACCTGAAGTTCCTCTATAACATTGGGGCATCCATCTTCAGCCCATAGGCCACAGTGTGTCTGGAAGACTTCTCAGCAAAGCAGGGAATTTCAAGCTGTCCATCTGCATTGGCAGTCTGTCAGTCATTTTTCTGTGTCCTGCAGAAAGTCTGCTAGACTCTTCCATGAAGCAGGAACCCTGGAGGATTGTTTGAGTTCAGCAGTCACTTTCCTGTAGGTCCTGCATGTCCGGTTTATACAGCAACAGTCAAACAGTCTAGGCAAAAGTATTTCTTGCCCAAATGGCTAACATGCCATGTTGAAAGCAAACTCCATAACGAGTTTCTTCGATGCCCATCTTCCTCTCAGACATAACTGGTGCTGTCAGGAGCAGATATTTATCATTGTCAAGAAAAACCCTAAACTATTTTAAATGGCATTTTCTGAAAGTCTTTGAAAGGTTTCAAGACTACCAATCTATCTCAAATACATTTCTGTATATCAGGAAAACCTAACTAAACTAACTATAAGTTCTGACTATTATAAGTAACTATCTATAATCTGTACTTAATTATGCATTTTAAAAGATTACTATAAATAATACTTAATCAAGAGGAGAAATATACATATCACAAAATTGACCTTGAATTTGTACCAATAAATGAAAAACCATACCAATACAAAGTATTCATTTCCATACCATAATCCCTTTTTACCTTTAAAAAGAGATTGGTTGTGATCACTAACCAATTATAAGCAACCCCATTTAAATGAAAACAAAGATTTATAAACAATATGGCAATTTGGACATTGCTCATTCCAAACTGCTTCCTGCTGATAGGGGGCGCTGTTCATACCATGGGGATCATGACAAAACAGAGAAACCTGTGTAAGTCCTTATTTTCTGGGTCTGTAAGGCTGCATCATCTTAGCTGTCTTAATTGTTGGAACACCTGGCCCACTGCTTCCGGGGTCTTGGTTCATCAAAGCACAGAAGCCTGGAAGGAATCCTTAGCTTTTCATTTTCTGTGGAAACATAAACAAAAAGGTCCTTATATTTAAAATTAGAGGTGAAAGCATTTTTGAAATACATAAATTTGATTAATCCAGCAGCATTTATAATCAAGCATACTTTAGTAGTTTTTCCTTCTTTAGCCACTGAACAACTGAAAAACACAATAACATACAGTATCCAGTATTTTCCATCTTTACATTGCTTATCTATTTATCTATTATTATGACTCTATTTCTTTTATATGTATTTATTTATTTATTTATTTATTTCTCTGAGACAGGGTTTCTCAGGTAATCCTCCTGCCTCTGCCTCTGGAGCAAATCCTACCAGCGTGTGCCACCACAGCCAGCTTCTCTATTTATTTACCACTATGCCATTTCTTTTTCTCTTTCAATCCTATGTATATTTTTAAACACACTATAACCCTTTAGAGTGTTTTCTTCATATGAATCTGACTTTACTGTAAGTCTTTATGTTTTTCTGGTCACGTGTCTTATCTGCTAAAGTCCATGGCTGTTTAAACTGCAGGTTTTCCAAGATGGCGGGCATAAGTTTGACTCCAATTCACAGCCTCAGTCTATGGTGACATCCAGCAAAAGCTGAAGGCTTAGAGATGTGGTCACCGCCACTTTCAGCTGTATGTACACACCTTTCAATTGTTAGCAGAGCCTCTTAAAATAACCTTGCTGGTTTTTGTTTTTTGTTTTTGTTTTGTTTTTTTGCTTATGCTGAGTCAGGAAGACTCCCTTAAGTGAGCCACGTGAGTCTCTGCTTGTCTCTAGCAAAATAGAGCCCACCTGAGAAAAATGCTGCTACAAAGAAGCTGTGCTTCTCTCCGTTCTTTTGTTTCTAAAATTCCTTTTAAGCTCTTGTCATTCTATGTGGAAATTCAATCCTGCTTCTGACAACCATATATAGAGTACAGCCTTCCCCGCCATCCATCTGGGCCCTGCCACAGTTGCAGTCCCCAAATAACACACAGGACACTGTATTAATTATGAAGCTGTTGGCCTTGCTTGTTTCTTACTGGCTAGCTCTGACTTAAGTATTTACCCCATAATTGTTAATCTAAGTATTTCTCTTACTGGAGAAAAGGGTCCAGACCTCTTACTCCTCTGGTGGGCTACATTGTGTCTGCCTGTGTCTCTCTTTCCCAAAATCCTCCTCAACCCCTAGTCCCACCTATCTTTCTTTTCTATTGGCCAACAGTGCTTTATTGACACATACACAGGACTTCCCCGTCATACCCTTCTTTCCAGGCTTCATATGTACTCCTGAGGCAGGAGTAGGCGTGGGTGTGTCAGGGGGGCTACAATTCTGTTACTATCCCAAAGTGTAATGTGTACTGTGGGACACATGGTTTAGTCTAGCATACTGCTTTAGAAAAGAAAAGAATGTCTTGAACTCCTATAGCACTGATACTTTTAATAAGATCCTTAGGTTAAGCTTTAGAAGCAATACACATTTTCTTTAGCTATTTTTTCCCAGACAGGAGAACAAAATGTCAACGAAAGACTTCATTGTGCTTTATTAGTCCTATCGTCCTCCTAATCCATAAACATCAATTGTACAAGCATTGCAAATCACATCACATTAATATTTTTTCAAATGCACTTATTACAGATCAGTGAGGATGATGACTAATGTTCAAGAAGCTTTCTGAGATACATAATAAGATGAAAGAACCAAAGGTCACAGAGAAGTTTCTACTGTTAGGAATTAGGGATTGGTTCCAGTCAACCATACTCATTTGCACATGTATTTAATTACAAGGCTTGCTGTGGTCATGTATATTTCTTTTCCTTTTTCATTTCTAATTATTCTCCTCTCATATGTTACATCCCAACTGCATTTTGCCCTCCTCCTTCCTTCCAGATCCCTCCCCTCTCCATCAGGTCTGTTCTTCCTCTATTTCCCTTCAGAAAAGGGCAGGCCTCCCAGGGTTATCAACCAAACATGACATGTTACAATAAGACTAGGCACACCCTCTCATATTAATGCTGGAAGAGGAAATCTAGTATGAATGAAAGAGTCCCCAAAGAGTCACAGACAGTCCCCTCTCCCACTGTTAGGAGTCCAAAAGAACACCAACCTACACAACCTTTAGCTAATGCCAAAGACCTAGATCAGACACATACAGACTGCCTGATTGTTGCTCCAGTCTGTGTGAACCTCTATGAGCTCTGGTTAGTAGATTCTGTGGGCCATACTCTCGTGGTGTCCTTGACACCTCTGCCTCCTATAATCCTTGCCCTCTCCTTCAGGATTCCCTTATTTCCAGCTAATGCTTGCCTATGGGTCTCTGCATCTGCTCCCATCAGTTGCTGGTTGAACCCTCTCTGTTAACAATTATGCTAGGCTCTGGTCTACAAGTATAGCAGAGTATCATCAGGAATCATTTCATTGGCTCCCCCATCCCCAGGAATTGTTTGATTCTACCCTAGCTCTCCTGGGATATCCAGCCCCTGATTCCTGGCCCTCCAGACATGGGCTCCCATTTGTGGTGTAGGTCTCTGACTGGACCAGTCACTGATTGCTCACTGCTGTAAATGTCATGCCACCTTTACTCCAGCACATCTGGCATGCAGGGCAGATTGTAGGTGGGAGGTTTTGTGACTGTGTGGGTATCCCTGCCCTCCACTGGAAGCCTTGCCTGGTTACAGAAGATGGGCAGTTTGGATGTATCCCCCATTGCTAGGAGTTTTCCACAGACTCTTAGATACACTTGGGGGTTTCCTTTGCACTGGGTGTTTGCCCCATTCCCAATATGCCCCCCAGTTCCATTCATATCTCCAAGTACTCTCTTCCTCCACTCCCCTACCTGTTCCCTCCTGTTCCCATCCCCATCAGCCCCCAATCTATCCACGAGATCTATTCCATTCCCCTTTCCCAGGGAAATCCATTCATCCCACTTGAGCTCTCCTTGTTACCTAGCCTCTCTGGTTCTGTGGATTGCAGCACGGTTATCTGATGGGGGAAGTCCTTCTGTGTATATGTTTGTCTTATTGGTTGTTGAATAGAGCACTGCTGGCCAATAGGGAAGCAAGATAGGTGGGAGGAGGAGACAAGGAGTTTCAGGAAAGGTAGTGAAGAATGGAGAGTCACCATGTGAACCCAGGAAAAGAGGATGCATGAGGTTGGCGTCTTTGGTAAGATAAGACATATATATATATATTAGTAGCTATGTGTTAATACTTAAGACAGAACTAGCCAAGCCAATGAGAAGCCCTGGACATTGGCCAACAGCTCTGTGACTAGTAGAATTTCTGTGTGTTATTTGGGGTTGATGTGACAATGGGACCAGGCTGGTGGTGGGAAGAGTTATTGTAACATTTTATTCACTCATAATTGAGTACATAGTATGTTTATCTTTCAGAATCTGAGTTACCACACCCTGGATGACTTTTTCTCGTTCCATACATTTGCCTGCAAATTTCATAATGTTATTTCTTCTTAACAGCAGAGTAACTGAGGGATGGATAAAGAAAATGTGGTTCATTTATACATTGGTCATGAATATTATTAAGAACTAAGGAATTCTTGTGCTAGGATCATCTTGTCTTAGATTTCTGTGTAGCCTTCTCTTTCAGCTAACAACATGGTCTTTTAACATGATGCAATCTGAACTGTTCCAATTGAATCTCTCTTTCTTCTTCTAGGACATTTATCACCATGGACCATGTCTTCACAGGCTCTTCAGGGCAATGTGTCACAGACAGCAAGGTTTACATTTGCCTCCCACTCATCTGTCTCTGCATGTGGTGCTCACCTTTTATCTGCCATGATCTAGAGATCTGAAAGACAAAAATCCATGGATGAGATTCACCCTCTTCATGGCAATATCTCATCTCCATAGCTGCTTCCCTCAGCCTCACCTCCCGTTATAGACTGAATATAAGGAAACATAGCAGGCAGAGGCATTTTAATGGCATTGGAGTGAATTCTACAATTGATGCCATTAGTCACATAAAGTAAGTCCCATGTCCCATCATTTCAACTGTTTCCAGGCATCTGATTTCATCATTCTGGCTATCTCACAACAAAACAAAGCACTTGTCTCTGTCTCACTAGAAGTCAGGCTGTTTTGCCAAAAGACAATTAACACATTGTGTATCCTACATTTTATACAGATCTTTTCAGGAATCAGGGAGTCAGACCTGGGACATGAAGTAGTGATCTCTCTTCTAGAAAGGGATAAACAATGTATTGAAGGCGGTGTTCTTAGTTTTTGAGAAAGATTGCCAGTCCTAGCAACAATGGAAAGGCATATGAAAAGAAGCCCATTTTATTCCATTCCATCGTTCAGTGTGGACTGCTGTCCTATGGAACTGTAATGCCTGGAGATGTATCTGAGATATCAAGATCCTAAGGAGAGAAACTGTAAACCGTTTTATTTCTAGATGTGGCTGATCTCTGGGGAGATGTCCTGTATTACATTGATGCCTATCATTCTTAGGGACTGTGAGAGTTTTAAAATTTCTATTCAGTGATACAGCATCTCCTTCTACTTTTAAGACCTGTTTTAGATAAAAATCTTTCCTTTCTGCAAAATCCCCCCATGATAATTGTGGAACTCAACCCCCTTCTTTTTTTCAAGTAGAGAGATAAGACACTGGCAGGTGCATTGATAAGCAAGGAAGAGCTGAATCAGAGGAAGTGGGGATCTTAAGTGCAGAAGGGAATAGAGTGCCTGGTGGCTAAGGTCATAGCCATTCTGAATCACATAAGTCTCAACTTTTAAGCAAAAGGAAAGCAGCATCATATAAAGTCCAAGAGATGTTCTCAACCCTAACAATAAATAAGCATCTCCCCAGATTTCAGAGAACATGCTAAAAGAGGAGCCAGGACCACAGTGAAGGTCAAGCAAGAAAGCTAAGCAAATTCCTTGCAAAGGCCAAGGAACTCGAGAGTAATGCTTTTGGAGTAAACCTTCCATCAAAGCAGACTTTACTAGCACTGGGTGGAGACCTAGCTAAATTCCAGTGTCCTTTCTGTTCCCCTTGTCTGTGTCTTACATTACATGCACAGAATCCTGTTGGGAAAAAGGCTCACTGGCCTCTGTCAAATATGGGACCTCATGATTGTTCTTGAATTGTGGCAGCCAAATTGTCATTCTTTCCTAGTAATTAGCTTGAACAGAATACGTATAGGACTTCGCAGTGTGCTATACAGTATGCTTTGCACATTTGTGTCCCTAAGCAAGGCATATGGAATTTTTGTGGTATTGAGAGGTTATTAGGACAGGCAGGTAGACGGAGCTGTCAATTGTGTTATCCTAATAGGAAAGCTTGAGGGAGAATTTTGCTATTCTACACTATACCCAGAGATGATACCACACATAAGGAAAGGCAAGCCCCAGACCCCAAAATGATGGACAATGGATTTTCCATCTTTATAACTTACTATAAGGTATTTTCTTATTGCAGCCCAATTTGGCTAAGACACTGTACTTCATACAATCAAATCAAATAAATCAAATAGCCTCTCCTGAGAATCGCAGTGAATTTGAACTGGCTCTTTTAAAGGGCTTCCAGGAACCACGATGCTATAGCACATGAATATTTCTTCTATAATCCACACAGATATGAAGCAAAGGACATGATTGCCCTTAAGCTAACTTATCCCTTTGTAGCCGATCTGGCATATCCAGATGCAATAGTCATTTCTCTAGCACAATATGGATTAATTATCCATCATTCTTCCTCCAGGAACACTGTCATCACTAAAATTTGGTTGGCCTTTCCAAGAAGAGTATAGAAACATTCTCAGAAATGAGATATTATTTGTTTCTACACCATTTGTCAAGAACTCCTGGGATCTGAATACACACATTAACCGATGCTTCAATTGGTTATGAGCTGAAACATCAGAGAGTCCCAGCTAATGTAAGCAGAACATCCATTCAAAGGTTATCAGGCAGCCCTCAGGGTCTGGGAGGGACAGAGAATCAGTCAGGGCTTTGTGCAGCAGTAGAGCAATGCTCAGATTCTACAACTGCCCCATCCTGTTAGAGCCTTCATCTCTATAGACACCATGCATGGGCTCTTGCACTCATTTCCCTGGTGTCAGGCTGGCTGGCTTTTCTGTTACCACCACTCTTGATTCTCTAGATTCGTGTGGCTGCTGGAGCCATCAGACTCTGCAGAAAAAAATCTGGATAGCACTCAATTATTCACAATGGCATATTACTCAGAATCCTGGACCGGTGCAGGTGAGAAGGGGGCCTGGTTCATGTCAATAGTCCTCGATGTAAAAAAACGAGATGGCAATTACAGCATGTTTTGCTTTTCAATGGAGGATTATGTTCCATGAGATTTTTTTACTCCCTGTTGGGGAAGAAGTATACACAGAGGATAGGTAAGTTACGTAAGAAGATCAGTCTTGATGGTAACTCATGGAAGATGTCCAAACTCATGTCATCTCTACAGTTGCCTTCTAGGACTAAAGACACCCATATATGTATTCTTGACTGTGATGATTATTCATTTCTAGATGCAGAAAATTGTCATTGAGCATATTTGCCACTTTCATTGACCTCACTCTGATACTGAAGTTACTAAGTGTATACAAGACACTGATGCCACTCACTACTCAGCTAGGTAGGTTCCAGCAGATCTCCACCCCAAACTTCAGATGCAAGTTATGAGGAATGGGTTACACAGAGTGAATAGGCTGTTGTTTTATCTCTTCAATCCTGGGGCTGACTCAGTCATTAATGACGGTCATGAAGACCTGTGAAAGAGAACATGGAACTTATAAGCCTAGTCAGTATCAGTGAGTGACAGATGAGGTGATGTAATAGAAAGGAAGCCTATAAGTGAGAGTGTGGAAATCTGAGTAGCCAGAGACATTTGAGCCAGCAAGTAAGTCATCAGATCTTCCAGGTATTTTCTGCTTCTCTCCTGGAGTTCCTATATTCTTTCTTTTACATTGATCATGAATTCCCTTCTGAGTGAACATAAAAGGAAGGAAAAGAAAAGAAAAAGAAAAGGAGATGCAATTTTGGGGGCGGTCTTGGGGAAAGTTAGAGGTTGGAGGTATGGTGGGGTGAATATGATATCAAGGTACATTGAGTTAATGTATGAAATTTAAAAGCAATAAATTAAGCATTATTAAAAATAATTATAGGACAAAGTAAAAAGTGACAATGCTAGGTGATAAGTCCATCAGGAGGGAAGAATTAATGTTAGGAGTACTAAATTAAAAGTGTAGCTAGCGTTTCTTTTTCCAGCTTGCTCTGCCAACTGATATGACCCCAGATAACCACACAGACACTATATTAATTGTTGGCTGAAGTCTAGGACTTCCTATTGGCTAGCTCTGTCTGAATTATTAACCTATAACTACTAATCTATGTATTTCTACAGGCCTTATCTTACCAGAGAACACCTGTCCTATCCTCCCAGGCTCTACATGGTGTCTCTTTGCAGCACCCACCTCTGCCTACCTTTCCCAGAATTCTCCTTGACTTCTAGTCCCGCCTAATCTTCCTGCATCTATTGGACAATGTTTTATTCATTCACCTATAGGAGAAACACATATCCAGAAGGACATCCCCCATCAAGAAAGATTTTCCTGCTAGGCAGAGGGGCGTGTGTCTATAACTGCGTCAATAAGAGAGTTGGAGGCACGAATTTTTCAGGGTTGAGGTCAACCTAGACCACAGAGTGAGGCCCTATCTCTTCAACAAAGCCAACAAAGAAGCAAGCAAACAAGAGATTGCCAACTTTTCTTACTTCTTTCTCCTTTTAGCATTTAATTACTACTTACAAATATTTGAAGCAAAAATACCAATTTTTATTTGCCACCAACTTTTACATTGTGCAATGTTAGTTTGTTTTAAATTAAATCATTCATATTTTAATAATTAAGACATTTAGTTGTTATTTTAAATTAGAAAATCCAAGATGTGTAGGAAATCACTGAAATTATACACCATGTATTAGGAGTTTATATACATGGCTTTTATAATACAGTGTCTATATACCTTTTAAACATATGCATACACACACACACACACATACACACACAGACGCACACATCCAAATGTGATTTTCTTACACAACAGTAGAATTTTACCATTTTAAGTTAGTGATTTCATTTACTTTTTGATTACTGGAGGGGAAATGAAGCCTGGTTGACTACACTTTCCTTTCTGTCTTTCTTCTCTATAACTGTTTCAAAATCAGCAGTTGGCTATGGCCATAATATCACGTGAAGAACAATAAATCCTTTGTGGTTTCTTGGTTCCTGTTTTTTGAGTTAGAATAGTTTCACCGTCGAAACCAGACTGAGAACATGTAGCACACAACTTGACCTTTGATGTCCCTAGCCTCATAGACCTGCATAATCTGTTGCTCAGAGCATCATGGTTGATGCATGCCAACTCCAGGAGGAGGAAGTGGGGACAGGGTGGGCATAACCCTTAACCACTCCTAACCACTTTCACACTCATGCACATTCAGGCTGAAAGCTGCACGTTCTGAGAAACATCTTAAGAGTTCCAAACGGTGGAAAGTAGGGCATCAGCCACATGAGCCAGCGGTCTGTGTTTTGGATCTCGTTATTTCTCTTTGAAGAACATGAGGCAAATCAACATTCTTTCCCAGTAAATCACATGAGAAGAATCTCTCTCTCTCTCTCTCTCTCTCTCTCTCTCTCTCTCTCTCTCTCTCTCTCTCTCTCTGTCTGTCTGTCTCTCTCTCTCTTTGTGTGTGTGTATGTGTGTTGTACCCATGTGCTGTGTGCTGTGGTCTGCACAGAAAGTCATGTGGAAACTTACTGTTCACTTGGGTGGTAGTGAGAGATTGAGCTTTTGGACTTTGGAGGTGATTAGGGCATGCGAGTAGGTGATGCTATGAATGTTGTTGTCCTGAGAAGAAATCTTGACAGGCCTCCCCTTTTTTCTTGCCACAAGAGGGCACATAGAATACGCCATATAGGTTCATGTGACTGAACAAACGTTCATTTGCTTCTCTCTAACCCTCCATCTCCTGCTGCCTGATATGCTGTCCCTTTATCATTATTTCTTAGCCTGGGAAATTACAAAAGGTCCACAAGAAGAACCAGAACTCAAATAGCTCACTCTCGAGAGTTCCCATTGTGACTCAAGTTGTAGCCAGAGGTTATAGAAGGAAAAACAAAACTGAAACAACTTTCAAACCTTGAGCTATGTCCTTGATATCTAGTAGAGGACTCACCTAACCAGACTGCTCAATGCCCTGACATGCTGCAGATTCAAAGAGGTCAAGGATTCTCTCAGTCTAGTTTCTCTTCTCTTCAAGATCTACACCATGGCCAAAGGTCTGCATATTCCACAGGAGTGTTTTGGGATGGTATCAGTAGCAACTGAAGTGACTTGAGTACATGTGATGTGCATCTACTTGGTCTGCTTGTGTGTGTGTGTGTGTGTGTGTGTGTGTGCACGTGCGCATGAGCGCACACGCATGCATGCATGCATTTGTGAGCAAACCGATGTGTACATTTTAAAATCTCAGATGAAACCACCTGGCAATCTAACCAATAGTGGAGAGGTTACCTTAAATGCCCTCCCCTGATAACATGATTGATGACTTCCTTGAATGCCACCCTAGAGCCTTCATCCAGTGGCTTAAGGAATCAGAGGAGGCAGTCACCCACAGGTAAAAACTGAACTGAACTCCTGGAACTCAGTTGCAGAGAGGGAGGATGATGAGCAAAGGGGTCAAGACCGTGCTGGTAAAACCCACAGAAACAGCTGACCTGAACAAGGGGGAGCTCATAGACCCCCAAACTGATAGCTGAGAGGCCAGCAAAAGACTGATCCCTACTGAACATTGGTGCCAGTGAGGAGGCCTCAGCATCCTTTGGAGCCTCAGGAAATATACCAGCATTCAACCCTGTCATTCAAATGGACTTTGGTTGCCCATTCCACGTGGACAGATGCGGTCTCCGCCTGGACACATGGGGGAGGGCCTAGGCCTTGCCCCAGATCATATGACAGACTTTGGAGATCCCCATGAAGGGCCTCACCCTCCTTAGAGAGTGGAGTGGGGATTTCAGGAGGCGTTGGGCAAGGTTGAAGGGGGGCTGGAGAGGAAGGGAGGTAGAGGGAGCTAGGATTGACATGTGAAGCAAACTTGTTTCTAAATTAAATTAAATAAAAAATTAATAAATAAAAATAAATAAAATCTCAAGAGTTCTACAATTTGAAGATATCTCTTACTGGGTTTATAACCTGAAAATACCCAGGAAGACTTGTATTTGGTCCCTCATACTGTGTTATAATCAGCATCAGCTTTTCTTCTAATTTTAAATCTGAAATGCTAGCAACAATTACAAACACAGCATTGATTTATTAACAAGCTCTACCCAGAAAGGAAAATGAACATTATCACATTAAAATGTCATGCATAATTTTAAAAAATATTCAAATGGGAGGAAAGCAATATTTTTAGATCATAGGGAATCCAGTCTGGCTTTCTCTCACGTATGACAAGGGAAAACCTAGAAGATAGGAATGAATGATTTGAATTGTGTTTATTACTTTCTAGACAGTTAAAAACAAACAAACAAACAAAAAACTACCAGAAGACGTGTGACCAATTCTCATTTTGTGTTTGTATTTTGGATAGCTTTTAGTTTTACTGGTTTCAGTATAATGTTTTTTGATCCATGATATCCTATAGTCTAAGAATGACTAACTGGGCATATTCAGAGAGCCACATGCCTTGGATGCAGGCCCGTCATGCTATGGTACATCTGCAGCTGGCACTGCTTGGGGTCAGTGGGTGGTTGTTCAGATCTGGTATTCCTAGGAACTCCTGCTGCCTGGGACAGACACCTGAATATATGTCAGTGGCAGACTTTCAAGGCATTGGACTCTGTAACTATGCAACTTGGAGAAATCTGATGCAATGATAGCAGGATACCCTGGTATGTCTGAGAGTCACTTGTGTTAATAAACCTCTGCCCCTATAGCTAGCCAGGATCTATGTTGCTGATCATGCATTCACCACCATTAGATGACTATAGTGAGATATCCACCCCACCTGCAACTGTAGAGAAGACCATGCCCGTTTGGGAGTGGTCATAGGTGAGGATGCTACAGGGAATGAGTTTTAGGTCTGGTTCCAGGAAGACTTGCATCTGGTCAGATCACATAGAGAAACCTACATGGATCCTTAGAACTGGAACCTGCGGCGGCTATCTTCTTCTTCTGTAAGTGACTTCTTCCTGAAATAAATGATATTTAACCTATATTTCAATCATGCCTCCACATCTCTGTATTCTCTAAAATCCTAGTTTTCCTCATTCTTATTTTCATCCTTATTGTTAAATTTCCCTGTATGTTTGGCAATGGAAGTTAAACTTTCTGTTCTGATATTAATGCTTAAGTCCTCCACAACAAACAAAAACTTTCCTAACGCAATTTTTGAACTCTCTGGAAAGATGATGGGGTCCCACTTCATTTAATTCCACTTGATTCAGTTTTGATACCTCTGAACTAACAAAAACCACCCTAAAACTAGTTTGGGACTTACAAGAGACTAGAGACAACTCCAGACTAGCTAGCTGAAATGGCGTACCTTCTTACTACACCCTGGTCAGAGCTTCAGATAAGTACTTCAATCAAGCATCTCTTGCCAAGCAGAGACTATTTACAATGTTACAGCTAGTCCTCACCAGACTTTTGTTGCTTTATTTTTTCCCCTACAGGATCCCATGGAGTTATTGTCATCCCATTTCAGCAGAAAGTAATCCTAAGAAAACAAGGCCCCTTTCCCTACCTGTGGCATTAAGAGTATTTTGGGTTTTCTTCTATTTTTTCTCTTCTCGCAAAAAAAGGGATAATTCACCTGCTTAGGGTTGGTTTTTAGCTGTTTAGGGTTGGGTATGGAAGGTGACCCTCAGACTCCGGTATTTCTTTTAGATAAGTTTAAGGGTATGGATGGAAAAGGTATGGTTAAGATGGTATATAGATAGATTAACATGCTCTCTAGTGAACTGCCTTTACCAAAGCCTAGCTGTAGATAAATTGTTAGATTATTGAATGTTAACTGTTTACGTTCCTCTTTCTGTTTATGATGTTTTATACACAAATAGAAAACTCTCTTGATGTGTATACATTTTGTGTATTGATGCAACTTAGGATATTTTATCATGTTGCACTTTTCAGTTCTTCCTGGAGTCAAGATATTTCAGTTCTACGTCTGTTATTGAGAATTATGTATATGTATATAGTTACAGTTTTTGAAGTCATTGTCCTGGTTAAATTATTTCAGAAAGCTTCAGGCATTGTACAACTGTGTTTCTGAGAATTACACACTATTACCACCCATGTTTCTTATCTACGAGATTAGTCAAACATAGATATTTCATCTTCAAACACTTCATAGATTGTAGAATGTGCCATTTAAATGTTTTAATAATAGCACTCTGTTCACATGAGACACAATTGCTCCAAGACACAATAGCTCCAAGCTATTTCTGAGAAAATGTTGGTCACCGATGTCACTCCTTCTGGAGTTCATTCTATGCTCTGCTAATGGTTTCTTAGGAAAAGAACTGCCCACACATCGACTGCTGACTTCGGACATTCTGTCCTACTGTGCTTGCAGGAGATAAAATTAGAAGACTGCTGAATCTTGCCACGTCAGGGTAAGACAGCCTTTCTACCTCCCTGCTGCTTCTGTGTTGGTCATTCAGATACTTGAGGCCTTAGCCAAAGCTGCTTGCCCAGACGCTGTTGTGAGACTTTGGGTGACTGTCCAGGTAGCCTGCTATTTCTGTCTTAGCTGCACCTTTTGGAAGTTGCTCGCATGTTCTTCCTGCCTACTCTAGTATTGTTATTCCCCTTCTCAGTTCTTTGATGAGGTTGAAGGTTAGACTGTCACAAGTATTGTTCTCTCTTCCTAGATAGAAATATTAGGTACAAGACTTAAACTTTCCAGCTTAGGACAACTCTATAGTAATCTGTGTTATGCCTTTACCCTAGGACTGGGTATATAGTTCTTGCGTTTTGCTACTGGCAACAGGTCTTAAGTGTGTTTGTTCTTACTTTTCCTCCTCCTAGAGCACACTTGATATTTGCTGTCTTCGTATATAGTTTTTATCAAGTCTAAATATTTTCTTTAGTCTAAAAGTGGGATGGTAGTGAGGTATCCACCCCGCCTGCATCTGTAGAGCTGACCAAACAGGCGTGGTCACAGGTGAGGGCCTGACAGGGAGTGAGTTTAGGTCTGGGGTCCGGGCAGATAACTCTCTCTAGCATCCGTTCAGGTCAGGTCACAGGGAACAGCCTGTGCAGATCCTTAGAGCAGGAGCCTGTAGTGGCCATCTGTTTCTTGTGTTTTAAGTGACTTCTCTTTGAAATAAATTACATTTAACCTACCTTTGAACCTAGTCATGTGTATCATTATCCGTGCCTCTGAAGATGACCACACGCCTTAGAATTCTGCAGAATTAAGATGTACTATTTGTATACCCGGGATAAATACTGGTCTGCTACCCAAGGCCCCATAGATTACCTAGGCCTCCTCACTGACACCCACATTCAGGGGGTCTTGATCAGTCCCATGCTGGTTTCCCAGCCATCAGTCTGGGATTCAAGAGCTAACCCTTGTCAGGTCAGCTGTTTCTGGGGGTTAAACCAGCCCAGTCTTAACCCCTTAAATCCCAGACTGATGGCTGAGAGGCCAATAGGGGACTGATCCAGACGCCATGAATGTAGTGTCAGTGAGGAGGCCACAGAAATCACTGGGGCCTTGGGTAGTAGATCAGTGTTTACCATGGTTTATGAATGATCTTTGGGAGCCCATTCCACATGGAGGGATGTTCTCTCAGCCTGGACACATGGGAAAGGGCCTAGGTCCTTCCCTGGATGAAATGACAGACTTTGGAGATCCCCCCAAGGAGGGTGTCACCCTCCCTGGGGAATGATGTGGGGATTGTGGGGGGGGCTGGGAGGGCTGGTGGGGGGGACAAGGGAGGAGGCATGGGAGAGGGAGCTGGGATTGACATGTGAAACATTCATATTTCTAATTTAAATAAAAACATACATTGAGGGGAAAAAAGATGCACTATTTGGTTCCATGGTCCTTGGCTTAAATCTTATCACTGGAAAATCTGGAGAGTTCTGCATTAGATGGACAGACTTTTGCTGCAGCTGAGAGTATGAACACTATAGAGGGCTGTTGTTTCACATGCTAGGGGTGTTCCAGTCTCTATGTGCTAATTCATTTCATCCTCACAACAGTCTTGTGAGACAAGCTGAGAGCTTTTCTAACTCTTCAGGACGCTCCGGGGTGGAAAAAATGGCTCAGCTGTTAATGGCTTTGACTCACCACTAACAGGACAAGAGAAGCCAATGATTGGTAAAGACAGTATAGCAAAATAGCAATTTTGGTCACAGTTTCCTCTGCTCCCTAACCACTGTGCTTCCTATCAGGACGAGACCTCATATATTAAATTCCTTCTCTGGCCTTTATTGTTGTTTGGAAACACCTTCCAAACATATGCCTTGGATTGCCACAAGGGGGCAGCCTTAGAACTCTGAGGAAAGATACTCACAAATTGGCCATTTGGAGTAAATTCAGGCTATCACCCTACAATCAGACCCAGGAGTGCCAAAGCCACAGGAATGCCAAACTCAGAGCCACCAATGAAACCATTACCTGGGATCGTGTTTAGAATGGGAACCCAGCCTTGGGATCTGCCTTATATCCTCATGAATCACAAATTGTAGAACAAATGCACTATTGCTTTCTCTTACCTAATACTTTCTTAAACATTAGTTTTTTTAATTTTATTTTAATGTCTATATGCTTTGAGGCCATAGCCCTGATACAGATTATCATTTTCAGCTGAGAATCCTAACCTATGAGTGAAGCACGAAATCCATTGTCAGCTTGCAGAAGAAATACAGAAGAGAATATCAAGTGCGCTTATTAGAGACAAGGTTTCTCTGTAAAGGTGGTTGGTTAATAATAATGCACAGTGTTCAAGTGCTGTGAGGAATGGTCAAGCACCCTTAAGTGCTTTAGAGCTGCAATGAGAGACATCTCCATATGATGCCTGTCACCATGGCAATGCCTGAGCTAAGAGGGACAGGAAAATGAAAGGGGAGTGGTTAATCACCAATTTCAACAGGTAGACTGCAGAGAAGAGGCCATGCCTTGCAATTTTGTGCTTCTCAGCAGGAGGAAAAACAAAATCCTGTGTGTCCACTAATTGGGAAAATCTTTTAGTGTCTTGCAGAAGGCCAATGGATTTCTGAGTTTAACAGAATATTTATTCCTACACTATTATAATTGGATATTAGTAAATGAACTCATAATGAAAGAGAAACTACAAATTGGGAAGTGTTTTCCTGCTGACAAGTTCTAATAGAACATACATTTGTCATTAAGACTTAATGCTTCCCAACACAATGAGCATCAGGTGGGCTCCTTCTTATTTCTCTCTCTTACCTTTGTTGGTTTTTAGGAATTCTACTGCTAGGAGAAATTGCAGGCTGAGCAAAAGGTAATGAAAGCTCTGAGTGGGGATGAGCTCAGCTGCTCAGCAGTGACCTGGACTGTGCAAGGTCCTGCACTCAGTAACCTGCTGTATGGTGACAAGAGCATAAAGGTGATGTCGTCTGTATGAGGTCAGGCTTAATCAGGGCTTTGCCCTTTAGAAAAGCAGAGGTTCTGCTCGGAGCCCGAGTCTCCCACTCTAACCTCTGTCACTGTTAGATTGGGAGTTCAGCAAGCTGATTCCTGCAAGACTAGAGATGTGAGACAAATTTGACCTGCTTTTGAGGAAGAGAGTAGAGAAAAACTGTTTCCAAGCAGATGTACATTTCAATAAAACACACAAGAAAACAAGGAACAGCTGTAGAGAAACCATGTAAATCAGCTCACAGTCATCTAGGAATTGGTGGTACCTTCTAGAATTGAAACAAAATTTCCTGAACCCATGGGACATGTTCTCAGATTAGCATGTGCAGGTGACATTGTCATCACACCACAAATGAGTCACCTGCAGAGTCCTGAGTATGTTTCTCTTCCCAAGTGTGAGACGAGTGACATTCAGCCTTCATGTCACTCTCATTCCAGATTTCTTTTTTCTTTTTTTATTTTTTGAGACAAGATTTCTCTGTATTGTTTTAAAGGCTGTCCTGGAACTCTCTCTGTAGACCAGACTGGCCTTGAACTCACAGAGATCTGCCTGCCTTTGCCTCCCAAGTGCTGGGATTAAAAGCATGCACCACCAACGCCCAGCTCCTCATTCCAGATTTTTGCATGAAATGAAATTTTGATCTGCTACTTCTAGATTTTTTTTACTATGAATTGTAAATCAGAGGGAAGTTGATCATAATGATTTGTGTGTATAAATGTATGTATGTGAGTACTTGCACTTACCTGGCCAAGGTCACCTCATAAGTAATGAAACTAGGCTCAGGTGGGAGGTGCCGAAGTACACCTGAGGTTGTGACAGTTTTATTGACAGCAATCACATTTTTTATATCTTTATCTGAAATGGAAAATAATGACAATTTCCAGGATCAGTACAGTTGTAATTTCCAGGATACAGTGAAGTGTGCGAGTCATGTGGCTACAAACGGTTAATGACTAAGACTAATTGTCCTCTCAAGCACTGATGCTTCCTTGACTACCAAGGGAACTTACAGAGAAACACAAACCAAACTGAATGCTTCACCGTCTGAATGAGTACATAGGTCTCTCAGGAACCGGAAGGCATATTGTGCCGCAGGAGGAATGGACTCTAACCTGAAAAACCTATGACACATACCTCTCAGGGCAACTAGGACAAGCCAACTTGCTCTGTGTGTGTGTGTGTGTGTGTGTGTGTGTGTGTGTGTGTGTGTGTGTGTGTGCGTGCGATTGCACGCATGCCCTGTTTGTGTAGGGATTAAGTAGGATGTATTCAAAGTATTTGACACAAAGCTAGAATCATAGTAAAACAACCTACTTGCTATTCAATCTACAGTAAATGTACTGAAAACTCAAGTTACCATAGCTGCAAATACCACTGATCATTCATTTCTTTATTCATTCTTTCACTCATTCAATCATTAGTTGACACCAAGGATCTGGGAAAGCATATGTATTCATCATATTCCTGTCTTGACTTCAGTCCACATTGGGAATCTCTTTGCTCTAACCCTAGATGTAATTGATATAAATCTGCACACAGAGCAGAGCAGTCAGAGTGGAGACAGACTGGAGATTTATGTAGAAAACACCTGGTTGTCATCCACACACTGCTCATTACCATAACCACATTGACACCCACTCATGCCCAGGGGATGGGAAGATTGACTCCTAGGATAGAGGAGTGTTCTCCCAACAGGAAGGACAGAGTCAGTGAAGAACTGCTCTGTTTGGACTCTGTGTTTAGAGAGTAACTAACACAACACGATACAAAACAGAGCAATGGTAAGGTAACTAGAGTTAGCAACAATAAAAGCAAAAAAAAAAAAACCCAGGAGCCTAACTAATTGAATTTTAGAATGTTAACACTTGGTAAGAGAGCATTAGTTGAGCTGATAAAACAACATCTTCACCTTCTGTGGGAGTTATAGCAATATGCACAGGAACACTGAGATGAATGGTTGGAGTATAGTGCCCTGTGACAGAGGGACTGCCAGTCTC